CGCGGACGCGGCCTCAGCCGCGCATGGCCGCCTCGGGGGGGGATTCATAGTCCACAAGAAGAACTACCGATAGTGCCCAAGGAAGATGCATGATTCCTCCCACATAGAGGGCAGGGCATGCTCACCGAACCTACAGAGAAGATGGCAGTGTCTTCCTTGCCAAAATGTAAACTTAATCTAAAGACTCTGAAGTAACAAGGGAAAAAAAAAAAAACACAGCTGCGCCTGTGACCGCTGCAGAGTTCCAAATTCGCAGGAATAACAGCTGACTACAATCTGTTTTTTTTTTTTGTTTTTTTTTTTTTCACTTTTTAATTTGCTCCAATCTATTTGTGGGAAGCATCACGCAATAACAGCTGACTACAATCTGAACGCAGTGCAGTTCAAAACTGCAAAAAAGCAGGTACCTGTCCTGCCAGTTCAACAATTGGCAAAAATTGGAGGTACTGGTACCGGTCATTTCCCCAGTGATGTGGCCTAGGCATCTCGACCGTGGCCCAGCCACAGGTGTGGCCTAGACATCTCGGCCGTGGCCCAGCCATGAAAGTCCACCACAATGCTGATGGCAAGGGTTTATCGTACGGGGCAAAATGTCCAAGTAAATATGGAAGGCACCATGGATACCCGTTCTTTTAGTATGGCAAAGGTCCGCACAAGGAGGGCAGTAATTGAAGCGTTGTATGACCCAGAGTGAGGGGAGGAGGATCTGGCCACCGCCACGGCAAACTGCATCCTCATCACCAGGAAGTTCTTCCAAAACCTATACTCCTCGCAGATTCAGAACCCGCAGGACCCACAGGAAGAGTCCAGAATGAGGGACCTGGCGGAGATTTTGAATCCAATGGAGAAAATGTTGTCCCCGCAGTAGAGGGCCAGCCTGAAAGTCGCCCTTAGCAAGGAAGAGATTTGGAGAGCCCACCTCCCCATGGAGGAGGAGAAGACTCTTTGGCCTGGGCATAGACGGTTTCCCTAAGGAACTTTGGGAGACCATGTGGGCGGCATTGAGCCTGGATCTAATGACGTTCTACCAGGAGGTGTGGAGGGAGGGCACGATGGGGGAGTTTGTAGGACAGGGGGTGCTCTCACTTCTTCACAAAAAGTGGGACAAACTAAATCTGAAAAATTACAGGCCCATTACCGTCCTAGATGCTGCTCAAGGCTTTGGCCCTATGTATACGCCCGTACTAATATGGGTCATTCGTACGTTCGAACAGTCGTACAGACGGGCAAAACAAAAAAGATTGATTGATTGATTGATTGATTGAATGATTGATTGATTGACTGTGTAAACGGGGGAAAAAAAATATCGTTGGATTTTTTTTATTTTTTTTTTTCAATTTGATTGATTGATTGGTTGGGCGGGGGTCGCCCCCCCGCCCTGACTGCACACACACACACACAACCAGTTTTATGTTTGTCGGTCTTTCTTCTATTGTATGTCCTCCCCTTGATTTTTTATAAGTTTTTCTGTGTGCCCAACTGAGCATCCTTAAGTAGTGCCAAACAGTCGGTTGTTCCTCGTTTGGAGTGCCTACTGCACTCTTATGGGGGCTGCTCGGTTCGGGATGTCTGTGTTGCCTGTCGGTGATGACGGATGTTCGTCGGAGTGACTCCCTGGCTCAGTGGGTGGTGGGAACCAACACTCTGTGGGGTTCTATCGTGATGTGAGTAGGTCCTGTGCTGCTTTGCTCCGTGTTGGATGTGTAGACGTCCTCGTCTGTGCTCTGCCGCTGCCCTGCTGCCTGTCCCGCTTGCTTCGCGTGTGGTTCTTTGCGGGTTGATGTGTTCGCTGTGCGGTGTGGCCGTGTTGTTGGTGTTGCCTTGCGCTTTGCTGCTCCGCTGCCGTGCTGCTCATCCGTTGGCCGTGCCTTCCGTGCTTGCCGCTTGTGTGCCCTGTAGGTTGGTGGCCTTGTTGCTGGTGCCTGTGCTCCGCTCCATGGTTGCCTAGCTGCTGGTTCACTCGCCGTGACGTCCCCTGCAGTGCTGTTGCCTTGCTTGTGTTGCCTTGTGCTTCACTATACGGCTGCCGCGCAGCGTGCCATGCCGTTCCTTGCGGTCGTTTTTGGCGTTGTGCAGCCATGTTGCCTCTACTGTGTTGCCTGGAGCTTCACAGGGTTGCTGCCCGCTGCTATGTTCCTCTTGGGGACAGTCTGCCTTCAACAAGGGTCAAAGGGTTCATGGCCCAAACCATCAAATACGGGGTTCCGCAGATTGTCGAGGGTTCAGCCTCCTGATGAGTCGGTGCAACTCCGACGAAACAATCTTTCATCTTTTGTTTTTTTTTTCGCTTTGTTTTTTTAGCTGTTTGTTCTTTTGTCCGTCTTGTTGCCTTGTTGCCGCCGCCTCATTCTACTGCCTAGTGTTGTTTGTCTGCCCGCCCGCCTCCCCCTTGCCCTCCACCCTTTCTTCTTTGCTGCGGTGTGTCATCCAAGTACCGTGTTGTGTTTTGACCTCAGCCTTGCCGTTTTGTTTGTCTTGTTGTACTTGTCTTACCGTTGGTCGGTTCATTTTTCGTTTCATGACTTTTGAAATGGGCATCCTGAGTTGCGGGCTCTTTCCTGATGTTGCTTATAAGCACACCTTCCGATGCAAGATGCTGCGACATGGTCGCAGAAGCCACGTAATAGAAACATAACACACACACGCACACACTTGCACACACACACACGCACACACACGCGCGAACACGCGCACACACGCGAACACGCGCACACACGCGAACACGCGCACACACGCGAACACGCGCACACACACACACACACACATGCGCACAAACACACACCCATGCACCGACACACACACACACACTTGCACACACACACACACACTTGCACACACACACTTGCACACACACACACACATACACACACACACACACACACACACACAGCACGCACGCACACACATGCACACACACACACACCGTCTCTCTCTCTCTCTCGCGCGCGCACACACGCGACAAAAAGGCGGCACGCTCCCTCCAAAGTTTTTTTTTTTTTTTTTTCGAATCAACCAATCAATCAATCAATCAATTAATCAATTAATCAATCAATCAACCAACCAATCCATCCATCCATCCAATGACATTCATCCGTCAATCAATCAATCAATCAATCAACCAATTTTTATTTCTATTTCTTGTTTTTGTTTTTTCGTTTTTATTATCTTTATTTTTTTTTAAATTTAAAAATAGCTAGGCTACCAGCCAGGCCGCCTGGGTCACCCTATTTTCCCAGGAGGCCCGGCCGTGCAAGAACGAGGGACGGTCCAAGCAAAAAAAAAATAAAAAAAAAATCAAAGAAATCCGAAAAAAATGATGTTATGCAGAAAAATAAACTGAACAACTTGTGCCTCAAGGTCACATCGAAATTTTTTACCAAGTTTAAAATAAAAAATAAAATTATAAACTATTTTTGTTTTTTCTTTGGCCCGGTCGGGCAAGTGGTCCAGGGTCACTATGGTAGCCTAGAAAAACAGAAAAAAAAGGATGGCGCTATAGAGCACAAACGAGATTTATGAAAAATCGAAGCATACAAGAGAACATTCTCCTGATCAATGAAGTGGTCAGTCTTGCCCGACCGCAAAAACAGAATGCGACCATTGTGTTTATAGATTGTGAGAAGGTTTATGACCATGTGGATTAGTTGTTCTTGGATAACTACGTGGAAAAAATAAATTTTGGCCCGAGGTGTACAAAATACAAAAGTAAAGTACATACAATTGAGGGGTCTTGAATTTCGAAAAAGGGTAGCTTTAGGACCTCACTTCGGTGATGGGGTTTGTTCCCGATTATACGATCATTTAAGAGTCTAACTGAAAAGTCAACGTTGGATTTGTAATACGTGCTGTAAAGGAAGAATTTGTAACCCCTAGTAGTACCGTTAAACCGTTAGCGAAAAGAAGTTCAGTTGGAAATTAAATTATATGATTCTTGTCATCTTTCATACCCACAAGCCTTTTGGTTGATGGATCCTTTATGAAGAATGAGGTTGTGGCTTCCATGACGAAGAGCAAAATAGGGGCCGCGCTGGGGTCCCCTTCCCTAACTGATTTTGACATTTTATAGGGAGTTGATGTAAAAACCTTTATTTGAATTAAACCTTGCATATCCAAAGTCCGGTCCCACTCCTTTTCTTTTTTAACTACGTTTTCTCATACATAGTTGAAGGAAGCTCCAATTGATTTTGTCATAGCCTCATAGGCGTTTTAGAAATCAAAGAATGAAATAGTTGCATTAACTGAATTTTTTTGTTATTTATATTATATTCTCATTAGTTGCCTTCGTGGATTATGGGAGTGCATCACATTATCTAGGATGAATCTTCCTGGGATGAAGCTTGTTTGATCTTGATGAAAGCATGTACAAGTTATGTTTTTTTTATTTTTTTTTGTTTTGCCTGACAAAAGATTTGCTAAGATTTTGTACGTCAGTTTGTTCATGCTGTCCTTGAACTTGTACATGTTTGGGGGGAAAAAAATAAAAGATATTGTGCATATGTGCTACATTCTCCCCACACTATGGACTTTTTTTTTTTTTGTAACCCACACTTTGTTGCCCTTGTAGTTTGTCTGTCGGTTCGAATATCAATTGATTGGTGGTGCTAAATTGGTAATTGATTGATGCTCAATTGTTTATTGATTGATGTAAGATTTTTAAATTTTGATGAAATTGATGGGCAGATGTTTCCCGCCGTACTTTCCGGAATGGTCTCAAGAAGTGGCATAATGAAACGAAAGAGTTTGAGGTAATATTCGTCCCTTTTTTTTTTTTTTTTTTTTTTTTTTTGACAAGAAAAATGATGCAGATGAATGAGGAATGATGTAGAGATGTGGAGTCCCCACTTCACTCACTTTCT